CAATCATTTAGGACAACTAACTGACCATATCTATTTATTTTAACAGCGTTTCAATATGTTTAAACAGGTAATTCATTCATTAACTCAGTGTCGCTCACTACTAACTGTTTAATCATGGTTTTCACAAATATTCTTTGTTACATACTTTCTTTCCTTCTTTTATTGATGATGTTCTTAGCACTTCTTTTTAGTGCGTTTTGTAAACTGGTTCACAAAAGCTAACTGGCTAACTTATATGTTAATTTGAAATGTATGTCTTATTCTTCAATTTGTGTTTAAATCGTTCCATCCTTTTATGAGACAAGAATAATTGACTGTATTGATGGGCACTGTACCCTTTTTCATCTAATTATTTTTGATGGAATTAAAAAAAAGGAATATTAAACCAACGAACAGATGAAAGGATGACCAATCATAGTGCTGTCTCATGAACTAGTATACATTTTTCTGCATATTGCATTTTCAAAATTTAAATGCTTCGTCAACAATACCATCCCGTTACAGTTGCATCAGACATGGAATAGAAGCTTCAGGTTATTCTACACTAGAAATGTAGAGCTTTTTACAGGGTTGTTTCATCCTAGTTTGTAACCACCGTTTTAACGTCTTCAGAAGTTTTGGCTCATTAAAGAAACTAGCAAGAATAAGGCGATGGTTACTGAGACGGTCATCGAATAGGATGGGTTCCTGATAACCTCTCAAAGCAATTGACTAGAACGTTGATCAGAACACAATTCGTTGAACAGTCCAACTTGCCCACAGTCATGCTTCAGTTTCTCAATATGCAGTTTGAACCTGAATGTTTTGTATGTGTCTGTCTTCCATCTGTTGAGAAGACCTCATGGGTTGGTATGAGGAGCCTATGACCATAGAGTTAGAAAATCACTTCATAGAGTAACCGAGTTACTAGTCAGTGCTCAGGAACCAGAGGTACACCTGTCAAACTCGTCTGCACAGCTCATAATTCTCGTTTTTAGAAAGGAAACAAGTTTTCATATGACAACCATGAGCGAATTAGTTCGACTAACATTGTATCATAGCTCTCATGCTCCAAAGTCATCTGGCATCTAACTGGAGCTTAGAAATAATTAACTGGACGAAATGAGACAGGTTTCATATTAGAATGAGAGTGCATCAACCACATCCCCCTACGACAAGTTTAGACATGCTCTGTGGCATTCTATAGACGTCCACACCTAGTTGCGTTTTGATAGTTTGAAAAAGTTAAGGATTGCCTTGCACGAAGTCTTCATTTAAAGATGAGAAGTAAAGTAGCAGGATTCGTTGCATCAGCCGGAATATGCTGTTTACTCACGAAATCTGTATAAGGATATGTAGACTACCTGACTGGGATATTCGACGTGATAGAAATCAGTGCTTTAAGCCCCTTCGTAATGCAACTGAAAATCGTTTCCAGTGTTGTAAATGTTTGAAGTTTTTACCTTTTTACTAAATTTATGGTTATTTATTATCAGTAATACCAGTCTAGCAAACCACAGCTATGCATCACGCAATCACATGACTGTTGGGCAAAGCCCCCAATGATTAAAGTGGAGTTGATATCTTATCAGCACCTGGGTCTCTTAGTTCAACTCATAAACCACCAGGTGGGTAATCCGGTAACCGTTGGTTCGATTCCTGTCGCAACACAGTTTTCGATTTTAGCGTCAGTCGTCACTGTTTAGACATACCTATTACCGTCGGTTCACATTCAGACCAATAAAAATTCGTGTAATGTAAATGGCTTTTTGGGACTATGTATATGCGATACTGTGAAACTGAAGGGCTGTTGTAGAGTAATCTGGTGTTGAGGATAACTCACATAATGGTGTTAGGAATTCATTGATATTAAGTGAGCTCAAATTACCACAAACGGTTACATATATGTCTTTATCCTCAGCTGACGATCTTTTTACTTCCTCATAAATGTATTCTGAACGAGAAAAAAAAACCATTATTTGCAGTACTTGAACCGTGAACCTCCCTTCTTTCTTTTCCTCTGCGTATATGCAATACATTTCTTTTCAAATTTCTTGATATTTTAACTAAATTTAGCTTTTACACCGATTCAGATTTTACAAAAGTTGTGTAATTATCTAACAAAAAAGTAAAGTTTCCCAGGTTTTTCATAACGTCTTTTCCAGCTGAAAAGTTTAAGTGTCTGAAGGGCAGTAGTTGAATTGATTGTTTTGGAACCACGAGCAAACTGATATTACCTCAAAGATTCTTGACTGAATCACCCAGTACCTGAGTAAAAGACCATATCATTCGGTTGCCCAGGTTGCAGTTAAGTGAACTACGGATTTATTGATTCTTAGAGGTGATTCAATTCCTATGATCAAGTGATACCGAAACGATGTTCACTTTTTGTGCTGTTTGGAGGCAGAAAAAATCAACGTAGAACTTGGCACACAAGTGCATTAATTCAAGTTGCCATACTTCACAGTAGCATGCAGAGAACAAATGGGTAGAAAAAGAGTGATATGATGGTAGATAAGAGTGTGCATGGGAGGTAAAGGAATAAGAAAGTGAAGGTAAGTAGAAATGTACAAATCTTCTGATGACATCACAGAGTGTGCACATCTGTGCATTTGTGATCGATTTTCATCCATGTCACCAATGTTCTGTAACCATTGATTTTGTTCTCCTCGAGGACCTCAGTAAGCCAGCTTATACATTCGTATAAGGTTGAAAGCAATGGTCAGAAACTTCATGGATTGATGAGAGGTTGGGTTGGTTCTGATCATTGTGAGCCTTCTTCCAACCTAATCGAACTTCTGTTTTGATTGGATGTGGAGTTGGACGTTGGGTTAGTGTATGCAGCATATGTCCTAGGGAATCAGTCAGTGCAGGGTTTGAGTTTCGTCGAATGACTTGTCTTCCTTGCCTATTACCCTTCGCCTTACTTTGAAATTGCCCACTTGGTGATTACATCTTTGCAAGCGATATCAATCGGTAGAAAACCCTGCTCTATCTAGGTTTCATGTTTGTCGGCGATCGTCCAAAGTGTATCCAGCTGGCGAGTTTTGAACAATGCAAAACTTCTGTCACTTGCTCTCCTTATATTTAATGTCCGACTCTAACTTTCCAGTTATTTGAAGTTTGCAGTGTATTGTTTTTTCTACTTAGTTTGATATATAAGCTGATAGTTTAGGCGATAATGGAAGGAAAGTGAATTCAGTAAACTTATTACCTACATAAAGGTGATATTTGTCGCTTTAAGAGAGGAATGCTAAGCATCTGGTGCTATTCTCATTTGACTTTCACTCACTGTAGTAAAACGAAATATGAAATTTTGTGTGGCGCACTCACACACGTGCACAGTAATACAATACTACACTTCCGTGTTCTTCATTCAAAGTACCACTTAGAGTTGTGCACAACCTTGCTTCTTTTTAAATAACCCCACCTAATTAGATAATTTCATAGTGATTCCGCATTTTAAAAGTAGTGTGATTGTTTACAGACAGGAACATATTAAGTTCAAATTTTTTTCAGTTTTCACAATTGAATATTAATTTCCATTCACTATAGACTTATCGCACCATATTATTATTTACAAAATTACCAGTTTTGATAAAGAGTGAAACATATTATTGAGTTACTAGTTTATGTGTGTAAGCAACCAAGTGAAACTATCGGCAGTCGGGTTGCTGTTTGCACCTATTTAGGAGTCAGGTCTTGTAGAAAATCCGTAAAAAATGTGTCCACCAATCCAGATGTTGGTGATTTCAAAATACTTTTCTTGACCAGTTTGTGAAGCGTTTGACATTTAAGTCTCAAGGCTATATAGTTATATGAATCTACTCAAAACATCATTTACGAAGTAATAGCACTTAATCACAATTGGTTTCTACCACAATCATTCATAGATCAGTCAATTAGCATCAAGTTTGGTCCTGGAATTACTGCATAGAGGTCGAAGGTACTACGTGTTACTTCTGGACGTCAAGATATAAGACAATACGAAGAAGTAGATCAAAAAATAGAAACCATGTAATAATAAGTCGTATAAATTTTCAAAGTAGAAAAAAAATGGGTTAAAACAAATTATAGGTGCCGGTTTGGAGGAATTATAAGTGTGAAGACATGAATATCGTTCTGGTCGGTTTTTACGTAGAGTTTCTAACCGTTGACTTTTGTCATGCGCAACGTGAACTGAATTTCGCTAAAAGATCCAGATCAACGATAAGAGACCGTTGATCATTATTCTGGTTGCTTTTATCCTCATCCGACTTCTCATTTAATTGAAGTGGTCACTTTGAAAAACATCTTACTGCTGTCAGACGACGTACAACCAGCAGTAACAACACTAGCTCGGGTGTATAACATAGCACAAGTTATATACAGTATGATTTTAAATCGTTTTTGTTTCATAGCCATCCAGCAAGTGTTTATCACATGGTAGGACCTCAGAAAAGAATTTTATCAACCAGCATAGTTCTTCGGGTTAATGCAATAGGCCATCTCGATCTTTGTGTAAAGGTGACGCCTACCGATTTGTAGCCAGTTGCTGTAGACCACACAGACAACGTTTCTCACTTCACATATAGTTAAAAATTGATCTAAGAGATAGATTATATCCTTCGTAGCATTTTGTGTGTTAACTATTGTGGCATTTTAACGTTTGACTACAAATTTACAATTAAGTTTAAACTTCCATGGGATACCACAATACTTGTCTAAGTCGTCAGTTGTGAAGGTAGTTTCTGAAACAATTGAAAAGTCTACTCCCTTCTTTTTGGTGGATTTTTTTCCACATATTTATCCCACAATTAATTACTTCTGAGGTGTTTACCTTTAACTCTTTTTCCATAAGTTTTCATTCATGCTATATGGTGTGTTTTGAGGAGTACTTTTTAACCTTATTTTACCTTCAAACCATTGACTATTTTGATTATTGTTTGAATTAAAGTTGGTGTCTACCTTTATATCTTGCTTATTCACAACATAAGTTGCTTAAATCATTTTATTTATTTATAAATTTTCCAAATTATCAGACTGATCCTCAGGAAGAACCGATTCATATATTGAATATTGCCTTACGTCAGTCAACAGATATTTGCTTGAAATCGACTCGTGTATCAGATGAAAAAAGCTTTGAATACACCAACTCTCAACTGTTGCCTGATTCAGTGATAAATGAAACAAGTGATGTATCACAATTGGAGGAATTTTGTTCACGTCATGTCGATCAGTTGAGAGCATCTGGTATCCGAAGAATTACTTTCTTAGTTATTAAAACTGTAAGTTATTACGATTTCTGTTGATAATAGCTATAGATATTCAGATTCAATGTGTGACTCATTGAATTGGACTTTCAAATTGTCAGCTGATTAGCCGGCATCTCCGTGCTACATGGCTCCATTTGACTCTGTGGACCGTGAGCTGTTATGGCGGTGTCTAACTGTCAAGGTGGTACCCAACAAGTATATAACGCTAGTCAAAGCTTCTTACTCGAACTGGGGGGTTGCCATGTGACGACATTGGCGACGACATGTGGTGTTCGTCAGAAATACCTACTATCACCGTTCCTATTTAACTTCACCATAGACATACTAAAGAATATAATCTTGGGTACACCTGATTTCAGAGGGCTTAACTTACTACCTTATCTGGAGGTCATCTGGTTGACTTGGAGTATGCAGACGATATTGTCTTGCTGGGTGAAGACGCTGACAAAATGCAGGGTCTTCTCGACGTATTCAGCAGACATCTGAGGATTTTTTGCATCCATTTTGTGTCTGTCAAACGTAAGGTGATGCTCCGCTACTGGACTTCAACCACTCTCAGTTTAATGATATGGAGTGAAGTTGTCGAAAGTAGTGACTACTTCACTTACTCGAAGAGTTGCGTCACCTTGAACGGAGTGGTTTCTGGCGAAATCTCGGCTCCGACACAGAAAGCCCTTAGGGTATTTGCCAACTTGCATCATCTGTGGCACTGACCGGCGAGTTATCATACTGCCTGTTGGAAGACGTGTATACTGTGCTACAGTCCGTCCTGTCTTATTATATGGCTGTGAGACATGGCCGTCAAAAGTAGACGTCAAGAAGAGGTCGCAGGGTGGTGGTCGTGTAGAGTCTTCATAGCGTTGCTCATGTTTGGTGGAATCATCGTGTGGGCAATGTTGAGATCAGGCGGAGAGTACAAATTAGCAAGACAGGCAAGTCGATTGGTGAGATTGTGTACTTTCCTGTACTGCGCATGCAGAGCGATCCACCTTGACGTGCAATGCTGGGAGATGTTGGATTCGGTTGGCGGATGGTTCATGGTGGTCAGACGAAGACATGGAACCAGTGGATGAAGTTTGTGACTGTTAGTCTGAGGCGTGTTGGAAGATGTAGAATTCCTGGTTTGGTGTCCTTGAGAAGTTAGGAATCAGTGATTGCAGAGCTTTGCCTACATGACTGAAAATCGGTGTGGATGGCGCGGGTGTATTTACTTGTTGATACATTATAAAGCTTGAATATTCACACTAACTTATATCTTCAGATAGTTTATTCTGTCACATAACTTTATATACTCTGAAATCTCTCCTTTTCTATCTGGTTGTTCTTTGGGTACTTCTATAAAAATATGGCAGCTTGAAGCGATGTACCTGTGTGTTAGGTTAGGTTCTACGTTGATTTTGTCAATTCACAGTATGAAACAGTCACCTCTGAACTGCGTTGAGTCAGTTGTTTTGGACGTAAAACAATATATACATCAAGTTTATATAAGAGGTCAACGATAGTTCCCAGTTTGCAATATTTGTTTGTCCAATGTCGAATTTCATGCGAATGTTTAATGAGGTCGAAACTTGAAACTAAAACTTATATTGGATTGCACTATAGAGGAATCAACTGTCGAAATTGTAGCTGTTATTTTAATCAATAGAGTTGTGAAGTGTAGGAAACTTTTTCCTTAGCCTATTACATTGACTTTGAAATCATGACTTTTCATGCAATCCTGCCCTGTCTTTTCCAACGGAGGAAATCAGATATTATCGCAAATGGACATCTCACTAGTAGTTTAATCTCACTGGTTACTAGTAATAGCATCGAGTCTAGCTTCCTATATGCTTTAGTTGGTTATGAAATCATGTCCCTAAGGTCTTCATTCTGTAAAACTATGTTCATGTGCGTCGTACGATTCGAAAATCTCTTGATTAAAATTTTGTTTTTCATCGGTTGTGAGTCCAGGTTAAGATTGATATGTTGATTACTGAGTTGTTTTTTTTTTGTGATCGTTTTCAGAGAGAATTCCCACGATTGTATACCTTTCGGGCGCGTGATAACTATCGAGAAGATCGAGTCTATCGGCATTTGGAACCAGCACTGGCTTTTCAATTGGAATTGAATCGAATGAAAAATTATAACCTTGAACATCTACCTACTCTTAATCGTCGTATGCATTTGTATTTGGGTTGTAGTAAGGTAAATCTACCATAGATCTTATTTGCATACTATTACTGCTGTTGTCGTTGTCCGGTTAGTAAGGCCCACTACAGTCTGTAAAGTGTATCAGACATAAAGACTAAAGAAGCAAAGACAAATGCTGTCAGAAACGCCTGCTTAATCAATCATAATCACTGTTTTTTAACCACTATTATTTGGTATTTTTGTGAAATCAAGACTTGACTGATATTGGTATTATAAATATCGGGTGTCAAATGAAAAGATGACATAAGATACTGGTTATATGTATAAATCTGACATTTCTCGCGAAAGTCTAGTCCCCAAGCTTCCTCAGGGAAAAAAACAAAGATAAAATAACTAAGACACGAAATGAGGTCAGGAGAGTGGACTCAGTCTCCTTGTCCAATTCGACTTATAAAAGACATGACAGCAGTAGAAAACTGTGGACCACTGAACTCCGACCCAGCGGCTAAGTGGTTAATGCTTTTGCCATAAAACCTGAAGGTCTTGAGTTTGACCCTTGGCTGGGTCGTGGTAGCGTACTGCTTAGGAATCCCGTACTATGACTAAGCAGCTGTTCAGTGCTATCAGATCTGCAATGGTTTCCCCCCCAACTGATGTCAATCCGTGATAAGTATAACCTTAAATACAAGATTTTTAGTTATTCTGTATTAAATTGTCCACATCCTGTTGTATTTTGGTTGTTGGTATCCACATATTTCTTCATCGAGTCTATTAGACAACAGAGGTCACAAGTGGTATTGTAGTCATGGTGATTGTATATGCAGCTGAACATATAAGATAGGTATGTATACCATTTCTGTCATTATATATGAAAATGAATTGATATTGACAATTTTTCTCCTACTTTGATGTCAGAACAAAATAGAAGTGGATAGTGATAGCAGTAATGATGGTTTTGGCGATAATAGTAATAATGGTAGTAAAAGTGATCAATCCAGATTGTATGCTGCTTTTTAAACAAAGATAATAGATAGCAGGTGCAAATGTTATCCTATCTAAAGCAACTGGTCCCTTTGATAAATTTAAACAGCGTAATGAGAAGACGAAGATTATCTGAAACATGTGATGTATTAGCGCTATACATTTCGAACAATCTGATCACACATGGACTTGTCGAACTATTTATATGAAAATTTACGAAAAGGTCAATGAAGTTAATGGGAAACATAGGAATAGGAAGGGATAGAAAAGGAAAAGAAAAACCTTATTCTTGGTATGAAAATTGAAATCAATACTACCAAGGTAGGTTCAACGTGAGTACAAATTGTTGACCTTTTCATTGACCTTTTCGTAAATTTTCATATAAATAGTTCGACAAGTCCATGTGTGAACAGATTGTTCGAAATGTATAGCGCTAATACACCACATGTTTCAGATAATCTTCGTCTTCTCATTACGCTGTTTAAAGTTATCCTATCTGTTGTTAATTAGCAGTTACCAATGGTACAACCAACTGTAGTTCATCTCATCTGTTCAAACTAATTTCAGCAACTTCGGATATAAGATTAAACTTGGTTCACCTACTGAAAGTAGTAATAAAAAAGCGTTTAGCAAAGAGTCACTCTTTTCGGCAATACCGTCCATAAGCTGTAGGTACCATCGTATATGAGTATTGTGTTAACAAGGTGATAGAAAAGGAATGTTTCATCAAATATTTTGAGTGAAATTTAGTTTGATTATAAATCAGTAGATTGGAAAAAAGAATTACGGAGTGATTAGAATACTAATGAGAAAAAGACTTATCCAGACCAAGGCGATATTAAGTTAATACGTTAGGCTATGTGGTATTTTTGCAAGAGATCAGTTACAAAACTGGATAAGGAGAATTTCGCTACCAACTACGAATATTTATTTTCACACAGAATCATCTATTGAGTTGCATCACATATTGCATGGACTTTGATGAACATTTAGGTCCCATAACTGTTACACTGATACAAAATTATCCTTAATCGCTTACAAAAACAAGTTTATCTCAACCATTCGTCTTTTTTTCTCTTTTAGATAAATGGCAGGAAAGATGTGGTTGACTATCGTTTCTTTGTTCGGTGTATTATACGACATGCAGATTTGGTTTCACGTGAAGCTTCATTTGAATATCTCCAATCAGAAGCTGAGCATATTCTCTTAGAAGCAATGGATGCCTTAGAGTTAGCATCTGCACACGCTGATGCATGTCGTACAATGGGGAATCATATCTTTTTAAATTTCGTCCCTGTTCTCCTCTTAGAAGATATAAACAGGTTGAAGTCAACCATTAGACGAACTGTAATGCGTTACGCCCGCCGATTTTTGCGTCTACGCGTATCCCAGGTAAGTCAGTAAATAGGTAATTTACGTTATTACTATCGCTACTGTTGTTATTACCGGTAAGCAACAGTCGTTCTGTTACTAACCACGTAAAAATTGTACATTCCAGCAAGGTACTGTATATTTTAAAGTTGTCAAAGTTTGAAATTGTATATTGTAAGATATATATGGCAAATGGCGTAAGCTTAATAACGTGAAGTACTAAAAAACTTGAGAATGAGTGATTTGTAGCAGTGGGCTGCATACATTCTAGGTACCTCCCTAATAAAACTCTGTTATGCTTGAAGATCAATACCAAGGAGTATACAGTCTTCCGAATGCTTGACATCTTTATTCTAGGTATCAAGTCGATTGCTCTCTGATACCCTCATCTTTCCGTTCATGTAAATTGCTCATCAATCAGGTATATTTTATCATGATGTAAAACAATCATTGATATAACTACAGAAACCCAAAGTAAGATAAGGAGAACGAAGTTGAACGATTCACTATTGAAACTGTCATAATCAACAGAGAAGCAGTGGGAACACTAATTGGTAGTGAGTCTTTCAGAATGTCTAACATTTATCTATACAAAACGACTTTACGAAAACTTTGGAAATATGAAAAATTAAATCCGTGTGCACCATGAAATGTTTCTTACATCTTAGCACCAATTGTTGAGCAACAACAGGAATGACGTCAACTCAAATGCCAAACGCACCTTTTGTATACGAGTTGGCATTTCATCTAGCCAGCCCATTTGCGCAGATGCAGCTCCCCAAGTAATTGAAGTGGTTGGCTCATTACATCAATTCACTTCGTATTAAATAAACTGCAGTATCCGTAGTAGACCAGCCCTGGCGCATCATCTTACATGTAACAGATGAAAAATGCACTTAGATTTCTGTTCAATGTGTTCAGAAGACCTTACATTTTGTCAGCGTTTTCACCTAACACAACAATGTCGTCTGCATACTCTAAGTCAACCTAATGGCCTGATTGGGATAATTCCGTCTTTGTGAATTCAGAGTTTCCTAGACATATGCACATTATCACTTCTGTGAAAAAGCTAAACAAAAATGGTAATAACAAACACCTCTTGAGGACATCACTCGTAGTTTTCACTTCAAATGACAACTTTCTGTGAGCTGTTACATTGCGGTTGCTTTAGTTGTAGTGGAGAGCTGTGACAAGCATCACATGCTTGGTCAGTACTCTTTTTCAAGTCATACTACCACAACGCCTCATGTTCGAACACTGACTTCAGGTTAAGAGGTGTCAGGCGCTGACATTTTGCCTGTGTTCCAGAATTCCTTAAGTGCAGATCAGATGGACCATCCTCGTTCCGTTTTGAAACCTGCCTTGTTCTGTCATAGTTTTTTTTAGCTTCAATTCGGCGTCGAGTAATTATGAACCCATGGATCTTCGATATGATATTAGTTAGACTGACCCCACTGTGGTTGTCACAAGAATACCTATCCTTTTTACAGCTGATTAACGTCTGCTAAGCGCGAAAAGATAAAACGTGCTAAAGTCACTTGTATTTTGCTTAGCTAATTAGATAACTTTATCGAAAAAACGCAGTGATTTAATCAGATCTGGCTAAGTCGCTAAAGAATGGTGTTGAATTATGACAATCAGACTATTATCACTGAAGCTGTCCAACCACTGTTAGGTGCTCAAGATAAGTATTCTACTATAATGAATAGTTTCATTAATTGAACTACCTTCACTCAGTCTATTGCAAGAGTTATATGTGAAACGTATACCTCATTACTGAAAGTGAGTACTCAGTCGACTTTCTAAGTCCATTTCTGCACGGAATAAAAAAACTAAGGATAACGAAAGGATGATATATTTTGATATGACTTCATCATTTACTGCTATCAACCAAAATCTAACCAGAGACAATCAATATTTTTTTGAAGAAAGACCAATATCTTTCCGTTTATACAAAACACTGTTTGACACCTAAAACAGTTGACTGATCTTTGCCTGAAAACATACTCATGTATAGAAGAGGAAGATGGAAAGATTGGAGTTTCGTTTCCAGATACTTGCATGTGCAAACTGCAAGTGTATGAAAGACTACACCCTCTTTTCAAACTTGAAGTACGATAAAAGTTGTTCTGCAACCCATAAAGAATCCTGTTAACGAATACTGTTTTTAAGGGCGAAAACTTATTATAGCAATAAAACACTTCAGAAATTGAAAGAAAAATGCTGCAACTAAAAATTGGAAACCGAAGATTGTACACTTAGCTTCATCAGATGTCTAACTGTAATTAGTAGGTGATTAGTTTGTTGCAGAGACTGATTATTTTACCTTTTCAGAATTGAATTAGAATGTCAACCCATAAATCACTTCAAAACATTTTTTGCAAACTAGAGGATTCTCTATTCCAAAGAAGTGTGCCAAATCTAGTTTATAAATCATTTGAATAGATTTTTCATAACGCTACATTGATCAGTTCAGCTGAAAGTGGAAAACATGAGAAGGCTTCAAGCGTTTGACCACCGTTGCCTTCGTAGTATAGGCCGTATTCCGTGGTGTCACCACATGAATAACGCAGAAGTCAGGTGTAGAGTTTTAGGGAGAAGAGGTAAGTCAGTTGACGAGGTTATGAACCCTCATCGACTGAGATGGTTAGGACACGTACTACGGTATGCCTAGTCACCGATTGCCTCGTCACACAATGTTGACTGAGGTGGGTCCAGGCTGGAAAAAGTCCGAGGTGGCCAGACTAAAACATGGCACCAATGTATGAAGTCTCTGACTGTTGGTTTGAGCCATGTTGGGCGAAGCAGACTAGTCGGTTGTTGTCATGCGAGACAAGAGGAACCAGTGGTTGGAGACTTTAGGTGATATAGCTGGGAACCGATGTCAGTGGCGCAGATGTATACACACATTATCTTCATCGTAACGACGCTACACCGAATCTCACCATTTTCTCTTTCTTCCTTTCTTTCTTTTCGTACTTTACATTTCTTTTGACTGGATTTTCTTATCTTCGTCTTGCAGTTCACTGACTTTTACATGATGTACTGATATGGGGTGTGACAACTCAGACCGTTACGCAGTTATTGCCTGGTCCTATGTTGATGATGATGATCAGTTTAGCTATTGGATTGCTCAAGGAATTCACGAACGTCGAATTGTAGTAAAACCATATGATAAGTCATCTTTTGTTTTAATGAACATTGGCAATTAAAATCTTTGAAATTGGTGAAGCAATAAACTGTTATGCAGTAGGGCCTGACAAGTTGGTTAGCATAAAGTCGGTGGTTTCAAAGTGAAATTAAGTGAAATCACACTACTATTATTAATATTATTATTTTTCCCTTGAGTTCCTAGTGGAATATAGGGCTTCAGTAGCACGCCTCCATTCCACGCTCTTCTCTACAGTCTTCAAAACCTGGCGCCACGACTGCCCACAAGCTTCCATTTCTTCCTCACATGATCTCTTCCTTGTCACCCTCTGCTTGGACACCCAGCTGGTCATTTCTATTTTGGATTGCACTCGAGGAACTGGTCTTGCCTGGAGCGTGATGTCCCCAATCGGCCTTCTTAGTGTATGTCCAATCCAATCCATCTCCACTTTCTCCTGGGCGATGGGTTGTTGGTTGGTTCGTTGCCAGCCAGCCAGCCAGCCAGCCAGCCAGCCAGCCAGCCAGCCAGCCAGCCAGCCAGCCAGCCAGCCAGCCAGCCAGCCAGCCAGCCAGCCAGCCAGCCAGCCAGAGTTCCTTGATGCTTATTCTTATTATTTTGGCGATCTGATCTTCAGTGTGAGTATGGAGTGAGTGTAGGCGGCAGCTGTTGATGAATGTCTGTAGTTTGTTGGAAATGCTTTTCATGACGCGTCAAGTTTCTGACCAATATAGCAGGACTGACTTGACATTGGTGTTGAAAATGCGGATCTTGTTGTTTGTGCTGAGTGCAGTAGATCTCCACACTGATTTCAGATTAATGCAGGAAGCTGTGTCTTGCTATCTTTTGGATCCTGGTTTCGACATCCTCGTCTGTGCCTGTGCCGCCTGTAGTTGAAATGATGTTGCCTAGGTAGGTGGGTAGGTGAAAGAGACTACTTCATTTAGGTTTCTGTGGTTGATGGTGATTGGTGCTTGTTTTTTGTTGTTAGTGGTGGTGGTGGTTGGGTATGTTCATCACCCGTGTCTTCTCTACATTCGCTTGAATTCCCGTCTTCGCTGCCCTGTCTCTTCTGTCAACTTGTTAGTTTTTGTCTGTAGATGTTCGAGTTTGTGCGACATTAGACGCAGATCATCATCGGGGGCGAAATCCAAATCTTCTTCTGGGGTGTTTTCATCGGTCCAGCCAGCATATGCCAATCTTCTCGCTCCTCACAGTTTGCTGCATAATCCAGTCCAGTTGACCACAGTCAAGAAGATCATTGGTGATAGTAGGCTGTGGCCTTGTCTTACTCCTGTCTTCACTTCAAAGACGTGACTTAGCTTTCCATTATGAATCTTTTGGCATGTGGCCTTGTTATATAGCTGTTGAGTGAGGTTGATAAAGGTTTGTGGCATAAAAACTGTAATGTTGAAGCAGCAGCCTGCCAAATTACCTCTCGGTTGACGCTGTCGAAAGCCTTTTCAAATTCGATGAAGTTGAGGTGGAGAGTTGACTGTCATTCTATACCCTGTTCTATGAGGATGCGTAGTGTTGCAATTTGATTCGCATATGATTTGATCTTCTTGAAGCCAACCAGCCAGTTGCAGTCGAAATTTTGGATGCAGCGCATCTTTTGGTCTCATGAGGATGATGCGGCTTAATATTGTGCTTGGGGTGGACAGAAGCATGATTCCTCGCCAGTTCTTGCGAAGATTTATGTCTCCGTTGTTTGGGAGTTTGACAAGGCAGCCGTTCTTCTAGTCAACCAGCAGGTATCTTTTCTTTCCGTCCAAATTTTCTGCAGTAGTGTTGTGAGCATGTCTGCTGTTGTGTCTGAGTCTTTTTTCATTGCTTCTGACGGGATTCCATGTGGTCCTGCTGCTTTCCTGGATTTCAGCAGTTTTATGGCATTCAGGACTTCTGTTTTTGTTGGACGACATCTGTTCACTGATAGTTCTGTCGTTGCTGGTGTTATTTCTGTACGAGTTGTATATGTTGGTGGTGGTCGATTCAAGAGGTTTTTGAAGTGGTCAGCTCATCGTTTCCTTCCATTCTCCTCTTTGGTGGTAACTAAGCTCCCTTCACTACCTTTTGTTGGCTTCATCTGCGTTGATATCTTCCATACCAGAAATAGTGTTGTCAAGTCTCTGTCTCGCCTACCTGCAGCCTTTTCTGCTTCACTTGCCAGTGTGTCTGTCGTAGAAGTGTGTTTTGTCATTGCACGCACTCCTCTTCACGTCTTTGTCCAGTGTAGTGTTTTATGCGTTGTGTTCAGTTCCTCTTTTCTTTGCTCATCCCTGCCCTGCACTGGTTCATCCTCTGATTCACCATTGCCATCTTCCTCCCCCTCCTCTATCAGCTTCCATGTGTTCGTCGAGATCGATTCCTTATCTCCTTTCTTCTTCTTCTTCCTTCCTAATACGGTTATGCAGGTTTCTTTCCACATTTATTTCAAAGAGTTCTAGTGTTCTTCCTTATCCGATGCTTCAGGGATGTTGCTCAATGTCTCCCATTTTGTCTTGATGGCTGTCGTGAAGATTTCGTTTGTAGTTTCGCCGTTCAGTTTGTGTTCTGTGTGTTGAAGTTGAACTGTGGTCGTCTATGACCAACTTCTGTGAAGGCTTTCAACTTGATTTTGAAGGCAGGTTCGTTGCACTAGATAGATAGTGAGTGGTGTGAACCTACATCTGGTCCCTTTGATCTTGTGTCGAGCAGGCTGCGTCTCCACTTTCTTGAGATTGAGATGAAGTCGATCTGATTTTCAGTGTAGTGTGTCCTGGTGTCTGGTGAAATCCATGTCGCTGCCTTGTGAATATTGTTGTGCTTGTACACGCTGCCTCCAATCACCAAATCGTTGAATGCGCAGACATCTGCGAACAGTTCTCCATTTTCATTCATCATTTCACCGAATGCTTCTCGACCCATGGTTAGTTCTCTTCCTGTGTTGTCCACTCCCAGTTTGGCGTTCATGCCACCCCACCCATTAGAATGAATTTTGATGTCGCCATCTGGGCTGGGGTCTTGTTGAGTACTGATTGCAGTTATCTATAGAATTCTTCCTTCTTCTTTTGATCTGCATTGTTTGTTGGCGCGTAGTATTGTATGATTGTGACTTTCCTTCTTTTTGATTTGAACCTTGCTGTTATGATCCTGGAGGAGACTGGTTTCCACTGCATGAGAGCCTTCGATGTTGTTGGGACATCATGATCGCCACTCGAAAACTCAGTGTGCCGTGGTTGTCGTCTGGGTGAGAATATCGGAGTAGATTATTGACTCTCCATTCCATTCCATCTGCTTTTACAGATTCCAAGCACCATTCCGTGCCATACCTCCTCATCTCTTTTGCAATGGGGGCAGCCTTGGTAGGTTCATACATAGTGCGGACATTCCATGTCCTCATCCTTACTTTCGCTTTCATCGAGGAAGAGAAGACACATCGGCCCGATCATTTGGCTTCCCTGAGGCTTTCAGCAACCGGCGTCATTTCGCCTCTCCGATTCCAGTGAGGAATAATGTTGTTTCTATTTTTATAGTTTGTTTGTGCTTTGAAGTTTGTTTAGCGGTTGGATTTGTTTTCTGGGGTAGGGTTGCTAGCGGTTTGCCCAACCTTCCGTCTTTGTCCGGGCTTAGGATTGGCTAGTAACTAGTGAACTAGTTAACCAGTGAGGTTATTCGTAGTATAGTTAATGGTCATTATAATCGTCATAATAATAATGACAATAATAAGTGATAACGACGTCAGTGATCCTTAACGTTTAGTTTATAACTGAAAGAAAACATTTGTACGACATCATTATTTGTTTTGTTTTGTGTACAAATAATGAAATAGGATTTAATTGCTTTATTTCTACAAATACGTTGATTTTCGACCCCTGTCCATTTTTTGTTAATTTCATTCACTTAATCTATTCTCTATTTTCAACTTTGCACATCAAAATCTTACACTTTTGCTTTCTGTTTAGCAGTCAGTTAATAAATATATCAGAACATTAATTGTTCAAGCGGAATATGAATTATTGTTCGAATGTTTGTGTACACTTTTCGTCAGTATATCTGTCGTGATAATCAGATGACCATTCATCGACTACTTCTTACGGATCTGTAAGAACAGAACAAATAGCTTAACTAATAAAGTTCTCTAGTATTGTAAAATCACTGGTATCTAGATGCGATAAGGAGGTGATAAGAGTAATATTTTTAATGGAAAAGAATTTTTTAGAAGTAAGGACAAAGGAAAAAGCAAGGAACAATTTATCGTGTGTCATCACTACGTTATAGATTGATGTCTAACTTCTTTCTGTGGAATAACTTGAGGTCTTGGTGAGATAACTGCGACAAACTTTTGCAATTAGTTCGGTTAACTAACATTTCATTGTTTGCACGAGAAACGTCTAGCTTATATTCAATGACTGGATCCGCTTTTGATGTAGACCTAACAAATAGTACATAATTCTCACTATTTGTATATTATGGTGATTATGAACTAGTACATGATGCAGACGGCATAAGAGATTTCCGTATTTTTTTTTAGTAGTAGTAACGCAGTAATCAATTGGTATTGGACAAGCTTCGAAATAAAGTACCAACCATTATGTAATGAGAAATCTCTTTTTATCTTTCTGTGCATTTTTACGATTCTTTCATCATGTAGGTAAATAAAACCAACTGTGGAGCCATTTTCATACTAATGTTATGTGCTTCGCCCTAGATAGAGACAGTGTCAAATAATGCATGGTGTGTAACCGAGTGCATAAACTTGTAATTAAATGAAAATGTGTTCCCTATTGTTCACTGATTTCGTTGATGTTTATATATTTTGACGGGTCCCATGAATGTTAAGTCATTTCTGGTTACACTCATACTCGGATAGCACTCGTCAATAGGTAAATTATACAGTGTATAAATGACGCATATGTGTTTCACTTTGATACTGATGATGCTTACTGAGGCATTTTTTTTCAATCCACATGCTCAATTTGTGAAGGATGTAAACATTGTTTTCTAATTTTTTTTAATAATAATTTTTTAGGCGGAACTAAAGCTACACATTCGATTCCATGCTTCTGATCCTGTTGTACCGATTCGTGTAATGCTCAGAGATGAGCATGGTTATGATCTAGGCTTGGAGGTATATCGTGAAGTATTGGATCCAGTGACCGGTGTTTTAATTCTACAATCAATTAGTCCTCAAAACGGTCGACTACATGGGAATCCAGCGGTCACTGCTCATGAGAATAAAGATTTTTTCGAAGTTAAACGTTTTCAGGTAATTTGTCGTTTGGCCTATATAACTGAGGCAGCCTATTTCATTAAAAAAATTAGCGCCAATGAGGTAATTGGTCATGAAAGCTCTTTTTTCAACAAAGTGGAGTTCTGCACCTAAATCTTATCTAGTTATGTTGTTTCAATCTCTAACGTTTTAGAAAATGACTAAAGTTATGTAGCTCACCTCATTGTTTTGTACATGAATCTGCACTTTATTAATGAACGGCATTTTGTTAAGGTCATGTTGTTGTTGTTGTACATATAGTGTGTATACCTGTAATCTCACTTTGTTTGTTTCACTAAATATCGTTCCTCAACGTCTCTTAACTTACCAGCTACCTGAACAAACGTCTGTAGGTATTGCAGCTCATTGGTGTAGGCGGCTGGTTTCTAGTCCATTTATCACGGACTCCCCCCCCCCCCTCAATTTTCTGAGATATAACCAATCTGGCAGTATCATTAGTCCTCTAATGAAAATTGTGACCCATTCACTGTCCCGTTTGAGAGTCTGCACATGCATGCTGATTTACATGAGCTGGAGATGCCGTTATACGGAATTCAGATTCATCTCAATGTTATTTGTTCGGCATTGTCTGAAAGTCAGAATTCCAACACTAACTATAATCTAATGAGTTGAATAGGGCGAAACTTGCTTCTTGCATTTCACTACTAGCGAAATAATTTATATTATGTTCCTCTGAATGGTTTAAATTTCCAAATCAACCTTTTCTAGATTTATCAATCTAGTTCAAAGTCACTGAATCAACAACAACTACTGTATCTATTTGTTTGCGTCATAGGAACTCATGGAAATTTCAACTCAGTTGCAGAGGATAAGTCATCACAGAGGAATAAGTAGGCTACGCACTTAGAAATGTCATTTCTAAGAATATGTTCTTTACTGAAAAGTATTCCAGATCTGTCCTTTAAGAAGGGTTTGTGATATGAATTCATAACTATTTTTAAATTTCTATGGTCGGAATACTGTGTAAATCAGATGATCATGCAAAACGTTTATAAACCAACTCATATTCGGGGTTACTTTTGTCCTAGTTTTAATCTACCATACCATATTATCAGATATTGGCCACAATTCTAAAGAGTGTTTGTATTGCTGTTTACTACTACCTTTTCAATCATTTTTGTTATTTTTCTGAAAATAGCCAGTCTTTGTTACATGGATCGAGTGTAGGTTCACTTTGATGCAAAATGCTTACTAGGAACATTGACAATAAAAACAGTAACTCTCGTAGTGATATTTCTATATATTGCTCCAAGTAATCGCCTCATTGTACACCACAGGAATTTGATTAGAATAAGGATAGGTCGATACGTGCGGACAGTGTTATTAATCATCGTAATGAGAAGGTCTATGAGGAAAGAAAAAAAACAATCGTCAGATGAGAAAAACTAAGATGCATTAGAATTTCTAAATTCAAACGCCAATAAGGCTGCAGTATATCTACACCGATGCAGTCGTTTTTGAAGGGTATCACTCTAAGTCACTAATCATTTATAATAAGAGGTAAACGGTGATTTAACAACACGCGTTTGTAGCGCTCCTGGTTACATTTGCAACAAACAGAAATGGCTCAGTTATTTTAGTATTTATTCAGAATACAAAATTGATACAGCATAGGCGCCAAGATTTACGTTACACAAGGGTATATAACAGTAATATGGAAACATTACTAAGGTATAGAGAGAAAAAATGAAGGTAAGGTTGTATAATGGTAGACGGATAAAATCATATAATACTTTACGTCTTCATTAAAATCCTACTATAACAGTATTAAAAGTAACATTGTTCACTTGTATATTTTAGGCAAGAAAATTTAACACCACCTACGTGTACGACTATCCTGCACTATTTTCTCAAGCGTTAACGGGTGTTTGGCAAAGTTATAGCCCGTCTGTTTTAGGTGGAGGGAATTTTGAATTGGCATCAGTAAAACAGAATGTTACTGCTGAATCGGTGGACAAGAAAACAATTAATGGCAGTAATTTTCTATCAAAGTTCCATGGTTTAATTCCTTTAAATATTCCAGAGAATTTAGTCATATCATGTACAGAACTATCTCTGGATAAAAATGGTAATTTACACCCGAATACAAACACTCTGGGTACCAATGAAGTAAGCAGTGTTCAAAAAGTGTCGTTTAAAAATGTTGCTAATGATTGACTCTTTCAGGTTTATATTCAGTACCCTTGGTTCTTTGGTTAAGTATGTTGCCCTGAAGCTAATAAGTCAGATTAAAATGATTTTAGCTCTGCAAACTAAGTTGATTTCGGAACATGTTAAAGCTAGCTACCCGGATACTATTTGATTATATCCCTTCAAAATCTAAAAAGCGTGTAACAGCAGTCCGAGTTGATCAGTATGAGGGTAGGTTCTAAAATGCTACTCAGCATCTCACGTCCGCTTACTCTTCCAGTTTGATTGAATAATCCCGTCATTTATAACTGGTAATTGAAATGGCCTTATAACCGAATATTGTTTGAGGTACGGAGAGTAAGCAGAATTGATGGTATCAGTTGTGTTTCTGCATCATTAACCTTCAGTTTGGTGATGTGTCACTAGACTGCTTATCACGGTAAGAGTATTATTACCCTGACTTTTGTGGACTGTGTAGATGGGATGTGTGTAAAAAAATAGATTAGTTATTTGGACCTAAGACAATGTTGGTATCGATTTTCAATCAAATTTCTAACCGTCAGAACTGTTCGAGCCTCAGGTCTGAAAATAATGCGAGTTTCCTTATCTGTTGGATTGTTTCATGGAAACACATCATTTCCATGTTTTCCACAAAATGTTGTCAACTGGAGTTATTGCTGTACATCTTTCGTCTGTATATGCTCAGTTATTATCTCCTAACCATTTGGTAAATTCCTCTCCGTAAAAGTATTTTCGACATCTTACCACAGTGTCTTCAAAAAGTTAAAATGGCCTCAAAAAATGCTTTATTATTAACAAACGTCACTCAACTTAGCCACATTCCAGTGGAAATAATACTGAGAGACAGATCAACGTTGAACGCTATGTACAAGCATCCAGCTCACGTTACCGGCACTTCACAATAGTATAACAAGATGAAAATAAGTGGAAACCAATGATGCTACTGTGAGTATGGGTGTGAAAAAGACGTACAATAAGAGTCAAGAACTAAAAGTTCACTAACTGACAAACTGCTTCAGTCTAACCTTTAGCCTTATCCAATCTAAACACACTTTAGCTAGCGTTAAGTGGCGCCAACAAACATTGACTGAACACGGCGGTAGACTCCTTCAGTCTGAATGGCGTTGTCCTATTTTGATAACTATCTCACTATTTTCTACTTGGAAGCAGCTGTAACGTTTCAACATCTTTTCAAGTGCGGACATGCTCCTTCTTCGATCGATGCGTGATCACTGTCCAAACACGTACTCCTTGAGAAGCAGTGATTTGTTAGCAGTATAGTCAACCTTTGTCTTTAATGGAGTTGCGGTTGGTGAACCCCACTTCAGAAAGAATTTTTTCATGTCTGTAGTTCGTGCTGGTCGAAAGCGGTTGTCCATCTGAGTGCAGTTGTAGCAGGCAATCGACAATACTCGTTTCTCCTGTTAAGATTCCTAGTGCTACTTAATTACTTTTATGCCCAGCTTAACCTATGCATTTGCACATTGAAATCATTTCCTACGAAAATCTCAGGTTAACATTTGGCTTCCAAGTAGAAGGCTGGATAGTTTTAGGTAGAACTCACCCAATATGCAGTCAATAGGTGCGTAAGGAAAGGTAGCAAATAAAACAAATTGAGTTTCATTATTGTATTTAGTGCTCACTTCACCGTTCAGTCAGCCAGCATGTGGATGACAGTCAAATAACCCAGTCGAGCAGTGCACTTTCTGTCTTAGGACGTAGTGCTGTGCCTAAACCTGCAAAGTAACGAGAGCTAACCATCAAATCTGCAGAAATTCTCAGTGTGAATTTTGTTAATTCATCATGTTGATTGAGTGAGGTTAAGTGAATAATGGCATTTGGGTCCTGTATGCTTGCCTCACAAACACAACACACACATGACCTGAGTTGCTAGAATTTTAGCTAATTTTTCGAAGGATGCGGACATCGAAAGCTCCATTAGGTATTTTTGAGCGTGGTTTCAGGAGATTAGGAATTCTGTTCCGTGAACTCGGGCTGCAGAGCTGGAAGAAATCCTAAGAATATTGACGGAGAAATATAATGAAATATTTGAAGGCTAGGGTTTGGAAGGTTGGTGTGAGGGAACTTGAGTGCTGACGGAGTCGTAAGGGCAGTTCTCCTTTCTGTTAGGTAGTTCAAGGAGAAATTGTATTAGCACTATTAGTGCGTGACTGCGGAGCCCAAGAGATATATGTGCTTGAGATGGTTCACACGCTTTCTTTTCGAGAGTTTCACTTTTAACGATGGAGGCTTTCAACCCAGCTAAAGTGCCCTTGCTGTCAACACGCAAAGACCACCAAATAATATGAGCATACTGTTTTGTCGCTCATATTTTCTAACCCTTTATCTTCCGTATATGAAACTCTGTATCAGCATACACTTCTGGTTATCAACTTCGATACCTTACTGCTGTCATATTCCGTTCAGTTAGGAGCAGCGCGACTTTGCCCTCTAACTCTGGTTATGACTTACTAATTTGTACTGTATTGTTCAGTATATTGTTCCCAACCTAATTGATTAAGTGTAACTGACAGTCTGGTACATACAGCTGTATCAGATAGGTGAGTTGCATTACTATTGCCGTTATTATTATTATCATTACTATTATTATTATATTCGCTCTTGGTAAGTAACGATACTATCAGCTTTGCAACTCGACCAAACCTCCTGTGTGACAACTAAAAACTACCTTTTTAAACATTATTTCACAGATTGGGATGGTTGTATGGCATATGGTGCTACGAACACCGGAAACACCAACCGGTCGTCCAATCATAGTAATTGCGAATGATGCAACTTTCAAAGCTGGATCATTTGGACCGGCTGAAGACTTGACTTTTCATCGTGCTAGCCAACTTGCCCGACACTTTGGTATACCTAGATTTTATTTAGCGTCGAATACTGGAGCAAGAATAAAAATTGCCGAAGATCTCAAAGTTACTTTCAATGTTGCTTGGATTGATCCTGAGCATCCTGAAAAGGTTTGTTGAACATTTTAAGTATGTCTTACCACGTTGCTTTTTTTTATTATTTCGAAATGGTCAAATCTGTATACTATAATTAATAACTACAGTTGTGAATATGAATTAGTCAATCCGACTTTAATTCGTGACGTGTTGATCGGGAGATAGTCACTGAGACAACTAACGTCATATGGCTGTTCTTTGTTTGAAGATACACGTTTGATGATATTAGTTAAGGATATTTGCAAACACCTTTTATGATAATTAGTAATGATCGCTAACTGTAAGGGTATGTGCGCTGTTCGGTAAAGTCACTTCTTTACTCATCCACCAGCATTTCCATTAGACTACTCGAATTATGGTGTATGCGAATTGCTTTCATGTTGCTACTCAAATCTTTACTGTTTTTCAGTCTATTGTTCACTACCTTGAGTTAGTGAAGGAACAGGAGTCTTATAGCAATTACCGACCGGGTACCAAGGAATATGAAACCTTGGATAACAGAGGTCTGATAAGTGTATCTCAATGTTTTACCTAAATTTAATAGAGTTCTTGATTCACTCGAACTATTCTCTTATACCGGCGATTTATTTGTTCACTGTTTTTCAAAGTTTGTTTTTAAGCCGTTACCATATGTGGTGAACACAATTTCCGTTAGTTTGATTTAAAATGTTTCAACAGTGTTATTTGGTGTTTGTTGAAAGTGTAGTATGTGAATAGTTTCGGTCATCTTTCGTTTGGTGATGAATGCATGTTTAAGTTGGGAATTTGAAATTCTTCCTATCCCAAAATCGAATAGAAATGCAGACATCAACCATCAGCACGCTTGTGCAGTAGCCAATGAGACTCAGCTTCCTTTTTCTATGCGTTTGAAGTCAACTAATAAGACGTTATTGTAGTAAATACATTCTGCCATCATTCTTATTATTATGTTAAGCCCCAAATAATAGACTCTTCACTGTTTTTTTGAAAATTTCTACGATAATACTTCGAAAACAGACAAATGAAAGTCAGTCGAAATTTTTTCATCGGAAGGAGGGTATGCTGCATCTTTGCGCTGTGCAAGTCACTATAGGAACTTTGATATTCACACCTTATGGTCATCATTCTATATGGAAATGTAGATTGTTTCATTCGCAGTTTATCACTAGGGTTATTTCAACAGTACCTATATTTCTCACGGATTCAGAATCGGATAAGTGAATAATTATGAAGTGGCACTTTGCTCTTCAGCATGAGTCTATCCATTGCTTGAGTACCTTTTGATTACAACATTTTGAATTGATTCCATTTAATTTACCTGACACATGATTTTGTTTTCATACCAGTTATTATCACACATTAGGATAGGTGGTGCTTGTGAATTAGCCAGGTCCTTACTACTCAGCACTGCCCACAGTCTACTGACCAAGTTTAAATGTAACCTCTAAGCTAAATCGTGCAACACTATGGTTTATATTGCTTTCTGGTGCTAAATGTTGGCAGTTAATTACAGGAAGCCAAGCTCCTGCTTTAATGCTCACGGTTATGCTTCTGTGTGCATATCGGCAACCTGCTTGAACCTTGGGCTACCCGGAAATTTTCCACCGAATGTATACAGCATCCATTTGCTCCCTTTTCATTAGTTATAATCATTGAAATGTGTCTTCAAGGAATATTATTTACCTTTAGATATTTTAAAAGTGCTCTCAGCCTGCCATTTAACAATCAGATGAAGAAAAGATGTCCCTACTTCGAACCAAACTATCGTTTGGCTGCGGTCCAAATTTTCATCTCACCTTCAATCATCACCCAGTATAAATACACTAGTCTGCCAAACAACGGCAGATTGTCAAATGCTAATCAATATAATTCTCCCCCTCTCTGATTCAGTTAGATTTGGATTGGGATGAGAAGTCCTGACTAGGCGGTCAGTGTGAATACTATCAAACGGTAGTAACGTGTCATGAATTCATGTGGTAGTTGGGTAAAACCCTTGGTGGTTGAAGTAAAATAAAATTCTGGTCAGCAGTCGGACCTTGTAGCTCAGTTGGTAGAGTAACCGGGCCGGTAACTCGGTGGTAGCTGTTCCAAATCTGGCCGTGGTCCGGCCTTTCATCTCACCTTCAATCATCACCCATCAAAAATAATATAACTACTGGATGTTTCATAGTATTCTCCGTAATACTGTTATTATTAACATTACTGAGATACTATAATTATTTCGTCAAAAAATATTGTACAGGGAGAGAATTTATTGTAATATTACACGCAAAGAACTTCCTGCTGTATCAAAAATGTCATCTGGAATTAAGTGATTATTATTAATGGCACTTTCATACCTATGATGTCATTAGGTGACCCACATTGTATGACTAGAATCAAAAATTATTTCGAAATCATTCAATAGTTTTATCACACGTTGAAGATGTTTCAGAATATTTATGATGCAATATTCTGTTACCGAACGTCATTCAACTTTACAGTAGCGATTTTCAAAAAGCGTATATTATGTTCCTGATTTTTAGTACTGAAATTGTCTGTAAAATGCAGCTTATTGCAATCCCTTTGACACTTTAATTATCTGTTGCATTGCTGTGTATGTTAGTTTTTAGAATTTAACTTCATATAAGCTCAGTTTTCTGATTAAGGTTTAGAAAAACTTATTTAGTTCTTTTCAAACACATTACAACCCCATCTCGCCCAACTACTAAACATTATTGTCCTTAACGCACTCATTCTGTTGCATAAGATTACCTTAACATCGACAGCATAGTGAGATATTCCTCGTCACAGTCATAGTTGCTTTTGTTTTGTATCATTTTTCAAGGGCTACAAGTACCTGTTTTTAACACCTGATGATTATTATCGTTTTAAATTGGAAGAAGCGGTGAACTGTGAACGAGTTGAAGAAAATGGAGAGATTCGTTTTAAAATTGTCGATATTATTGGTAAGATCTATTATCAGATAACTGATCTTTTCTCTCTTTCTCTCACACTACCTTCTATACAAACTTCAATTATCATCTTTAGTCTTCTTCTGTTCATATTTCCTAAGGTGTTATAGTATCTAGTAGGTGACCTTTTGGCTTCATTTATAGCATTGCTTTATCTCAAAAACTAGTGAAATGGTTCAACTATTGATTAGCACTGACTGAACGCTAACTCGCTCACTCCTGGAATCGATTCTGTGAACAAGTCTTGAATCTACTATACTGAAGAATTTGATGAAATATCTTTCCAGTGGTTTCCTAAAGGAAGTTAATTAGTATGTTGAATGTTAGTCAACTGTGTAAAGGTTTTTGGATAGTCATTCAAAAAGTCTTAGTCAATAAGAATATTCATTCCATTTTGGTTATTTTAAAATTCTTCCCTAGGTGGTGCCAGTTGGCCTATGTAGATCATTTACATGTTAGTTTGCCATTTATTGTCAATAGTCTACGATATCAGCTGACAGCAGTTGTTAATATTACTCCGACTGAGTCGATTATAGTATTTCTGCTCATTATGTTGAATGGGATCGATATGTTACTGCACTATGTTCTACTTTGCTTTAACCAGGAGTTGTGTTATTTTATTGTCTACTGTTCTTTTGCACATATTATGCAACTACAATGCTGTATTCAGGCATGCCTGATGGTTTTTATCGGTTTCATGTTCGCTATGCAGGCAAAGAACACGATATGTCAGTGGAGAATCTGCGTGGTTCTGCTATGATAGCTGGCGAAACTTCCGCAGCCTATGATGATATATTTACTATTACAGTAGTAACGAATCGAGCAATCGGAATTGGAGCTTATCTAGCTCGTCTTGGTCAACGTGTTATTCAGGTGAGTTATCAACTGCTTCTCAGTTTTTATTCAATGCATTGTCTAGCGGACCTACTACGAACACTATAATCATGCTTCTATTAACCCTATGTTATCTAGACTGCAGGTGATGTTAGCTCTAGTTGTTTCACCACTTACCTATGTGCATGTTATTTAAAAGCATCACATTTCAATGCCTTCTTGACACAACCCACCTCTCCCTCTTTCCCCACCCGCTTAAGAAGCGCCACAGAAGTCTCAGGTGTATGTTGTGTTTGAAAAAAATGAGAGGAGAAAATTAGTACTAACAACCATCATGCTTTCTTCCTTACACATGACTACTGTCTCCTTCTGATTGTGAAAAATACTTAAGGGGTGTAAATCGGCATAATTCTTTGTTGATTGTGGTTTGGAAATTTGTGTGGAATATATGTTGTGTTTTTTAGAAGTATTGGCAAATGGAAAAGATTAGTAACCATGGTAAAATAGAAATAAGGTCATTTTTGCAAAACAAAGTTATGTTGTAATGAATTAAGTAAATAGTTGACACTGTTGAATGGCATGTTACTTAACTATCAGAGTTGAAAATTTCCACAAAAACTACGGAATATTTAATTGATTGTAAAAAATTGTGAATATTAGGAAGTGAATTGAAGTGTTTCTTTGTACTCACACTTGAGGTTTGTACTTATGTATTGCTGTAGATTTAATACTAGAAACAACGTACATGTTTTTCTAAATCTCTATGAAGTGAACCACTTTGAATTCCTCCAGCCTGGTGATAAAACGTCCAATAACAAACCTCAAAAATCAGAGAATACCAAACTGTTATCAAACTCTTGTATTTATCCATTTTGTACACCCTACTTTGAGGATCATCTTGAATCGGAACTCAGTATTGTGCTTCTGTCTCTATCAAACCATATAAAGTTGGCGCTGTACAGTTCATTTTTTGTACTCAAGAACACGGGTGCAGATGAATTTGTTTAAATTACTTCAGGGGACAGATCGGCCTTTCATTTGAACGAATGGAATGATTCGACTGGGTTTTTTTTACTAGCATTTACACATCTGTCCTAAAAAATAATTATTCCAAGTTCTCAGATCTCTTTGTTTCTTCCTGGTTGACAGGTTAATAATTCGCATATCATACTAACGGGTGCAATGGCTCTTAACAAGCTTCTTGGCCGAGAAGTGTATTCTAGCAATAGTCAATTAGGTGGTGTTCAGGTTAGTGTCTTGGTTTATGTGTTTAAAATGCAAATAAAGCAAAAGAACTACCTTTTTCCGTTTTTATCATCTTGTTGATTTTTTCACTGAATTTCAATTTAAGTATTTCTTGGAATCGAATCCTACTTCATCTATATTTTTGTAACAGTGAGGTTGTATTGAACAGCGTTGTACATTAAATGCGTACCTCACAGCTTTTAAAGTAAACTTCCAGGTAATTTGGGAGTCTTACATTTTCTTTATCTATTTGACAATTTCAAATGACCCAAATTGAACTGCTTTCACACAAAATGTTGTAATTTATCTTCAACCTGAAGTACTCTAACATATATTCCAATAACCTGGTAGTTATCAAAATGACTTGAAATGATCGTTTTCTTACGAATAGGAGTATCAGAATAAACGTGTGAAGTCAACTTTGTTGATTGTGAGGACAAATAAGTTTTAATTACATTAAATGAAGGTCACACTGTATCGCAAATGTACAAAAGTTGGAACATTTGCGTCAAAATCAGTTGCAGAGAGGTAAGGCATTCATTGTGACATGGGATTACGGCTATGAACTACTGAAGAGTCTGAAACTGGGACGAAATACCTTTCATTGTTGCTTGGTTTTCATTAGTTGTCTAACAAATTTCAGCCTGTGAATGGAACCGTTTTAAGATGGGTCACATCCTCGAAAACTTTAAACTGAAATCGAGTTTATCATTGCTAAATCAAGCACGAAATTATCAAGACTCTTCCCACATCTTCAGATATGAAAACTCTTCATGTTCACATAATATAGTAGGCAATATTTATAGTTAATTACCTATAAGAGGTGGGTTAGTAGCCAAATATATCTACCTGTATGGATCATCATCGTTATTACTGTGAGGGTTTTCACCTTACAGTGAAAGGTCGGGTGACAACGTTCTTGTGCAACCAGTTCCGTTTTGCATCTTATAGAATTGCTTTTCTCAAGCTGAGAATGTTCACTATCTGAATTATCCTTATCTATGCAAAACTGCTAGTATCGTTTGATAACACCAAGTAATCAGCTATGCGTTATGGCGAAGCGTGTTTAGGTTTAGTGTTTAAGCCTATCATCCAGATTTCCGCACTCAGGTACGATAAGAACCATTACTCAATAAATGAGATTATTTTAAAACTAGTTTAGATGGCTTAAACGCACCATACACTTGTCGTCCCGGGGACTTTCAGATGCACCATTCTTCTCTAGCACTCTAACTGGTTACGAGCGGGAAAAGATATGGTCAATATGTAGTGTGCCACCATGGGATAAAGGTTGGTTGCATCGGGATAGCATATGTTGATCCATCACAACCTTCTTATTGTGCTTCAGTAGACAGTGAGAATCAATTGCCTGAACTATTGTCAAGTGTGACCGTAATCGAAACTTGTAGTGATCATGCTCCAGCTTCTTCGTATTTCAGAGCTTTTCATTTTGTGATCAGTTCTTCGTTCTTCTGCTTTATATCCTCTTGCTGTTGTTATAAAGTATTTTTTGTGACCCATTTCTTAGTGTCTTTACTGTACTGAGTTTGTGTTGAAGCGCAATTAAGTACTGCCAACTTTCGACACATTTAACGGAGAGATGTAATTGGGATAGCTAGTTCCCTTAATTTTAGGTATTCACATCTATTTCAGGTTATGGCGAATAATGGTGTGTCGCATCTAGTAGCATCAGATGAACTATCAGCTCTGCAGTTAGCTATCGAATGGCTTAGTTATATTCCGCAATATTCAAACAAAACATTTTCAGTATTATATAAACCGATACAAATTGAACAAGGACATCATTTTATCAAAACGATACAAACAAAGATTGAAATTTCTTCTCAACTTCAAGTTTATCAACCGAAAGTGAATAAATCAACTGGCTTCAGTTTACCATTTGATCCTGTTGATCGTATAGTAGAATATGTGCCTAGTCGTGACCGTCCAAATGATGATCCCCGATGGATGTTTACTGGTATCATGAGTAAGTAAGCGTTGCTTGTTGAGTTTCATTTGCAATGGTGTACATATAACTTTAGAATGTTCTAGATGTTTTCTTAGCAAATTTTGAGGTTTTAGGTGTCAAGCAGAATAATTTTTTAAAGGATACCGTACCAGCTCCATTTTTGTGCTAGAGTATGGAAAACCAGACTACTGTTGTTTTTCATCCGTTCCGTCTATCCTCATATGTGTATAGCATGTATGTGGTCCTTGAAATCCCAGGGAGCTTGAAATGGGAAATGGTTATTTGTATGCTCACTAGTACTCAATATTGTGATGCTATGAAAGTTAAAAGTAGCTCATTTTCACTGTACTCTCATCTCACGGTAGTAATATGTTTCTCCAGGAATTCTGCCATCTCTGACGATTATCGACATTATCTAATGAAAAAGGAATGTTTTACTTGTTAAAATTTACTTTCCACTTATTTACATTACTGCTGAAATGTAGTACCTTAAGTAGTCGAAGAGTATCAGTGTGAATAAATAATGCTTCAAGGTGTAGTGTGCTTAACTCCAAGAAGTATCCTTTGTACTCCGTTAGTCGGGTATTCCGGTTGAATGAACTAAGCGCAAACTTTGTTTTAGTCTCAAGTTCTTGAAAAATATTTCTTTTTCTGTGATAGTATTCGAGAAATAGTATATCCACATATGTCTACATCAGATTGAGAATTCCTGCTAAACAGCATCTGCTTTTATTGCCTATTCACGTTTTTTTCTATCTCCAAGAATATAAAGATGTATGAAGAATTAAAATCTCATCTTGTTTGAATCTGAATTTTGTGCACTCATTTCTTCTGGTTACGTGTACTTGTTCTATACTTTGACAGGTTCCCATTTTGAAGCATTCTGTAAATCCTCTGCCAATAAACAGGCTTCATCAGATCTTCAATTTAATAAATCGCCCACTGATCATTGGATATCAGGTTTCTTTGACTGGGGAACATGGCAGGAGACATTATCATCTTGGGCTGCTGGGGTTGTGACTGGACGAGCACGTCTTGGTGGCATCCCATGTGGAGTGATTACGGCGGAGACAAGATCTGTTGTTTGTCGTGTTCCAGCGGACCCAGCTAATTTATCTTCTGAAGCACAAGTTGTTAATCAAGCCGGTCAAGTATGGTATCCGGATTCAGCATATAAAACGGCCCAAGCTATTGCTGACTTGTCACGTGAACATTTACCACTGTTTATCTTTGCGAATTGGCGAGGATTCTCTGGTGGCATGAAAGATATGTATGATCAAGTAAGTCATCTATGATAGAACTTATATTGTACATAGTGAAGTTCAGTTTCGATTGCATTTTAAAAGCGTATGTGTAGCAAAACCTTTATTTGTGTGTATGTTTCTGTGTATCACTTCCAATTTAGATTACATTTGCTCAATTCCATTCTTAATATCACTCTTTATTGTAAGTTGTTACGATACTTGAGACCTATTTTTACTGATTCGACAAGCGATTTCCCATTGTACCAGTTTCTTAGTAAAGGGCCAGTTTTTTTTCACTTCAACTCGAATATCCAGTGCTAGTCAACTGAAATATTTGTAATGCTGAAATGTTTACTATGTGCGTGATCGACCGATAACGGCCTTGCTGTCGATATCTTTTCCTAACTAGAGAAAATAAAAAGATGATGGTTAATTAAAACACTACTGAAAGGGATAAGACTCTGATCTTATCTCAGGATAGATGGCTAGGACATTGAACAGAACACTTTAGAGCAGAGTCTAACTTGTCCACAACAACACTTCAGTTGGCCAGTAGCAAGCCCAAACCTGAATGGGACATGAATGTCGGTCCTCTAACTGTCATCGAAGTGGGAAGTCCCGTTCAAACCTTAAATGGTGCAAAGCAGAAGGTCTTAACATTTTGCTACCCGGAAGTTCATAAGCATAGAGGCATAAAATTACTGTGTAGAGTAACGGAGGTAGTAGGTAGTGTGTGGGAATAAGAGGTAGACCCGTCAGACTGATCTGCCTCACTGATCATTCCGCTTCCCAAAATGAGAGAAGTCTTCCTATGCTAACCATAATGGAATCAGATTGACTGACATCGTGCACAATATCCTAGTCTTCACGGTTATCTGATGCGTCATTGGAGCTCTAGAACAGCAAACTGAGGGAAAGCAAAAAGGTTTCAGGTCGAGATGAGGGTGCAACTAGCAGATCTTCGTCTTTCGACAGGTTTTGAAATGCAAGTATTTTCGCCGGTAACCAAAACTTACCATAATTCTTGACCTACAGGCGGCCTTTGACTCTGTCGATTGGGACGTATTGTGGTAATCAGAAAGTTAAAACAGCACCAAGCATACATATTATGCTAATCAAGGCCGCTCTACCAGAACTCGTAGCCATGTTAGGGTTAACTGAAGAGTTGTTTTCTTAAGTGATATCAACCAGTGGTGTTCGGCATGAGTATACCCTCATACAATGCTTTTTTAGTTTTGAGTTAAACGCACTAATGGAAATCCCCCTGCATACCTCAGGAAGAAGCTGGGTTGACTGAAAGTGCTCATACTATATCGTCCTGTTATGCTAAGATTCTTACAAAATGCTGAGTCTTCTAAAAACCTTGGGTGGAATTCTGAGTCAGTACGTGATGAAGACTACCTTTAAAATAGGAACTGACTGTGAAATTAGTTGTTAAAGGGAATGAAAATGCATAAGTGTATGAAATAATCAGTAGCCTTTATACTAAATTACAAAATACGTTAATCGTTACCGTGAAACTGAAAGCCAACAACTGATCTTTTTGAATACACAGATCGACACAACAGTGTTCCCGTATCCATCCACCAACACACTGATCACTTAAACGACACGTTCAGTGGTTTAATTATGTGCGCGACCACAATAAACTCATGTCCCTGTGATTCTATGTTTTTACTACCTCAGTTACTAAACGTTTCTTAACATTGAATGGACACTACTACTTCCTACTTGTATAGACATATACCGTAAAAGAATTATCGAAAGCAGTACTCAGTTGTATTCTCTTGATTTACTTTCCAATCATTAGCGCAAATAACTAACGAAAACGTCGAAACATATATGTATTGGAGTCAACGAAAAAGAATCTTTTAGCAGTAAGTACTGAGAAAAAGAATGTAAAATTCAATTTTCTCCAATTCAACCTGCCACAGCTGTTTATAAGCTAAACCTATTACTTGAGAATGAAGTCCTTAAACTAATAACCTACTTCAGTGAAATATGATAAATGATTTTCGATGATAGTTTCTACGCATATTGCCAACTTGATCTTCAGCTGCTTACAAACCTAATAGGCACATAACAAGGAAGTGATGCCCGTCGATCAAATGATTAAGATTGTTCATGGAACACAATTAACGGATTATGTGGAGGGACATTCTATAAAGAGTAACAGAATGAGGAGAGAATTGACACTAAGAATTGAAAGGCAAACGTTGTAGATTACATCTGCATCAACAGAATAACACTAATTATTGGATATGAAGTAAGTTAAAACTGGGGTAATAAGAGTAGGTTTTTAAACGTAAGGAAATAGTCAGTAAGAAAAACAATTATGAAGACATGATAAAGTTCCGAATACATCTTGATAGTTTGAGTTTCCAAGGTAATGATTGATTGATATTTACTTCTATTTAAAAATTTGGATAAGCTTATCGTATCCCAATTATTTCAGTGAGATATTACATGTTTGGTGACATATCATATTAAAAAGGTAGTTGTTATATTCCACTTGAATAATGGTGAAAACTAGTTGAATGCACCTTTGTGCGACTAGATATTTTGATAACGTTTTTAGGTGACTTTGTATACTCTTCGTGTTGTGTCAAGCTTTTGTTTCGCATTATAATGAAACTAACTAACAGTAGTAGGAGAGAAACAGTGCTGACTTTGTGGTATTTCAGGTTATACAAGTCTTTTACTCAAAAGAGTAGATTGTGACAGACATTTTGTCGAATAATTCGTAGACAATAGCATGATATAAACATTCATATCATTTAAGTACACATAAATGCAGACTTCTCTAAGTTTATCAGAATGAAAAGCAAGAGGACAGTCTTTTTTCATTCTAGGCGCATGGTGTACCTATCGAGACTGCTTCAGATCGCATAGCTTCTTCAATCTTTATAGCAAGTTCATACAATTCCAAGACCTTCAAGTTCCATGAGAGGTGAAGTTTGGAGCTCTGATCAAACATAAAACACATTTGATTTCCTATCTTTAGCATCATGAGATTCATCATTTTAGATAATCTGGTTTTCATAACTTTTATTGAAATTAAATAAATCTCACATTTCAACTATCTGGATTATCAGTATTCATGTGTATTGTATCATGAAAATGGTTAAGAAAATCACTAAAAAAATATTTTTCCTCATTATCTTTTCCACCTTTATCACACTGAACTCAGTATCCAGTGTGTATTATTGCTTTGTATCATGAGATGTTGTTGGTAGCCTTTTTGTCTCTTCCGGTGTATTGATAATAAGGCTGTTTATTTTGTAGCTTTAATGCAGAATCTTTATGTATGTATCTGTATGCGATGAGGATGATATACAGTGGGAGACGATGCATGAACCTATTATACACATATAATAATGAGTAATCACCACTTTATGCCCTCATATTGATAAGAGAAACAACGGAATTATTTTTTGTTTCCTCCAAATTTTCGACATCTGGGTGGTGGGTTTTTATCTTACCGGAAAAAAGAAATACCTTCCTTTCTTGTTTCTGTACATTGAAACGACTTAATTACTGTTCCATGTTCCGTTTTTGTTATATCGTGTTTATTTACTGTTTATTCACTTGTTCGCCCACTTACTGAATAGTAGTAAGGAGAATGAGACTTAATTGAAGAATGCCTTCCTCCATCCTTCATCATATCACATAAGGAGGTGGGTGTATACATTCTGCAATACAGTCAACTTGATTGTGCAATAAAATACTCTTCCTGTATTATCTTTGTTCGATGCACTCTACTGTAATTCATACAACAATTAAACAACTGAACGTAACTCACTGACGAATTAGTTCGTTAGTTAGTTACTTAGTTAAGTAATTAATTCATCGGTGTATCGATGCGTATACATAAATTACATCCTGTGTTATTCAGTTGTTTACATTAATGCATCATCGGTGTCAAGTGAATAAGCGCCAATAATAGTAATCATAATAATAACCACAATGGTGATCAATAGTGCAGTAGTGTAAAAGCTTTTGTTCCAGATATATTTCTGTTTACATGTTGAAAGGATTTTATTGTTCACAGCTGTGATGCAACTGACAGTTTACAGGTGAATTGATTATGAACTGCTTTTTTCCTGTGACTTACGCTCAACTATGTATCGCGGATATGTTTTGATAGTGGCTTGTTTGTGGAATACAGGATGCTTGTTCTCTTCTATTTGGGTCGCATCATTTGAATGTACCTGAATGTAAGTGAGTAATAGTGTTCTATCTATGAAAATCGAATCCAGCGTTCATGTTTATAAGCACTTGGTGTGTTCCTCATTTTTCGATGAATCTAATGAAATTGAGATTTTCCTATTTTTAATTTTAATTTATCGAACATTCTTTGATGTGGGTAGATTGGCTCTTTGTACAGAAGCCTTAATGTAGCATTTCACTTCATATGGATATTGTTTCGGCTTTAAGTGACAATTTCGATCACGTTCAGACTTCCTTCAAAGAGTAGAAATAAACTTCTTTTAAGTTACACATAACTGCTGATCTCTTCTTAGATGTTCAACTCTAAATATAATCTACTAGAGTATCTTTTCATTAACTATGCTGGGCATATTGTATTTCTACATCAAATGGTGTCATCACGGTAGGTATTGTGTCCGATCTCGCTATTTGTATTAAGAATTATATAGAAAAAGTTAATATAGGGGTGACAACCCCTTCAGTTTATTTATATATTTTATTTTGAAACGTAAAGGCTGTGGACCCAAGGCATAAACGTTTTCTTAGCATTCCAAATGGGCTTTCTGTAGATAGGTCTTTGGAATGAATCATCATCTTTTCTTTGAAGTTGGACGTCAAGGAAGTGGAATTTTGGGTTCGAATCTTCTTCTAGAGTGTATTTGATCGAGGGATTAGCACTACTAAAGGTTTGGAGCAGGTCTTTGAGATTTTTATTCATGTTACAGATAATAAAGTTATCATCTATGCATCTTTTGTAGATATGAAGCTCACTGATTATTTTCGATAAGATCGTATTTCCCAGGCTTGCCATAAGGCAAGGAGGAGTT